CACTCTAACCCGGGCAAAAAGAGTGAGACTCTGTCTCAAAAAAAAAAAAAAGCAGTATGGTGTTGATGCAAAAATAGGCAAGCAGACCAGGACAGTGGAAAATTCAGAAATCTAGCAAAGTGCATAAGAGAAGATATGCAATAAAACTGCACAAGGGGAAACTTTATTAATACTTGGTGTTTGGGAGCTGCATATTCCTAAAAGAGGTGAACACGGATTCCTTCTTTACATGCTATAATAAGATAAATGGTAAAGGAGAAACCTAAATGGCAAAAATCAAAACATACAAATAGTAGAAGAAAATACTGATAAGTATTTTTATAAGCTGTCATAAATCTGGTATATCACTCAAACCAGAAAATGTTAATAAAAGAAAAAGATTGATGAAGTATACAACAGAAAACAAGAATACTGTGTATAGCAGGAAGCACCATAAGTCTAGTAAAAAGGAAAATGGCAAATGGGATATCTTTTGCAACTTATGTAACAGACAAAAGGAAGCACACATCTGTTTGTTCTAGAAAACAAGAAAGCTCTCAAAACATAGTTTCATGGTATAAGGAAAAAGGAGGCAATGTGAATGTTCCCCCACTGACCTAAGATGGGATAATTTGAGCTCAAGAATAAAGCTAAATGGCAGTGTATCAAATTCCATCAAAACACAAAAAATAATGTTAGGAAAATATCACTTATATGTTTTGTTTGTTTGCTGGGGCCACACCATCATTATTGTGACAATTGATAAAAGAAAGAATCAAACTTTTATCTTTCCTTTCCTGATAGGCTAGTTTTTTTTCTCTTTTTTGAGGCAGCGTCTTACTCTGTTGCTGGGGCTAGAGTGCCATGGCAGATCTTCCTGCCTCAGCTTCCCGAGTAGCTGGGACTATAGGTTCACACCACCACACCTTTTTTGTAGAAACAGCATCTTGCTATATTGCTCAGTTTGGTCTTGAACTCCTGGCCTCAAGCAATTCTGCCTCAGCCTCCCAAAATGTTATCATGACAGGTATTAGCCACGATGCCTGGCCCTAAAAGGCTAATTTTTAATATAATGATGAGCTCATGAGAAAATGCAATTCTTAATAGAAGAGTAAGAACTACTACATGCAGATGATATAATAGAATTAGAAAACTGCTGTTTGGCAACCCTCAGTAAAATGAATCAAATTACAAAAATACTAATCAAAAAATGCTAAACAATTATATGAAAGAAACAGACAGACATTACTTGGACCCCTTGATCAACTTTAACATAAATAAATGTGGAAAAACCAGATGTGTATCCAAATGTGCTTTCTGAATCCAGCTGGGCTGGAAGCTTAACATACAAAGAGACTTTGAAAGATTCCATACCAAAATCAAAAAAATACTTCATTAATAATATAATGATATTGATTACATATAGAAACAATATTTTAGATATATTGGGTTAAATAATTATAATCAAATGCATGTGTTTCTTTGCCTGTTCTTTTATGTTGTTACTAGAAAGTTTAAAATGACACAGGTGGCTCGTATTTTATTTCTATTAGACATTGCAGCCTGAGAGGATCACCTCCCTCTATAAAATTTAGGCTGCCTCTTTAAAAGATCAGAGGCCAGGAAGGTTAGAAAATCTGAAATTTAAAAATAATTTTATTATATCGTTTCCAATTTTGAGTATCATCTATGTTATACATAAATGGATATTACCTTATATACAAGGTTAAATGCAAATATCTTCAAGGAAGGGGCAGGTCCCAGCACAGAGAGGAAGCTCTGGTCACAGCCATGAATGTGTGGGATCCCATCACTTGTCACTCAGGGCCCAAAAGGGTGGGCTTCGAGCCTTATCCAATCAAGGGCACAGCTGTGGGAACTGTCCAATCAGGTGAGCAGCGGAAGAGGCGGGGTCTTCCACCATCCTGGCGGGGTCTTTTTCTCTTGCATCAGGCTTCCCAGCTTCCTCGGTGTTCACTGCTTCTTCGCTATTGCTCTGGGAGGTCGAGGTGGCTCTGCTGCAGCTTCTGTCCTCTGGGGGTTACTGGAAGGTGCCTGTGGAGGATGGCAGGATACCCCAGAATCCAGGAACTGGTGAGTATTCAGGCCAGATGTCGTGAGGGGAGTGAGGGTTAGTTGGAACCCACCGGAAGTGGCTATGGTGGACCTAGGCTTCCCCACAGTCAGCTGCATTATCTGCGGATCCGAGTCCTGGCTGGTACAGCTCTGCCCTCAGTCTCCTTCACCCTAAGAGTAGGGCTGAGTCTGGGCCGGCAGCCAGGACCCGAGCGTCCTGTCCGTCCGCTGAGGCATATTTGGCCCAGCAGGAGCCTTGTGTGAGCAGGTCTGCGCCCGCGGCTCCACGTCTTCCTCAGTGTGCGGTGACGACGCAGGAGGGTCGTCGTGGGAGGATCCTCACTCGGTGTGCGGGGGCTCGTGTGTGGGAGGAGCTATGGTCATTGGGGTCCCGGGTCCTCCTCTCATTAAAAATTAAGCTAAGACGCTGTTAAAACATTAAAGAGTTTATAAGAGCAAACGGCAGTTTACGAATGCGAAGCACCCAGCAATGGTTTGTGGTTTGGAGTCCACCGGGGGCTTTGAAGGGAAGGCTTTTATAAGGTGCATGAAGAAGGAAACTTAATTCAAGAATTGGTTACAGTTTTGTAGTCACCTTTTTTGGACTGTGACAGTGGCTATTTTCTGGTTATGTAATCAGAGGTGCTGTTGCATGTAATCGGTGCTTCGTGGTTGGTTAAGCCTGAATTTGCTTCGCACTAAGGTAGTAATTTACAAAAAAATACATTTGAGTTATATTTCTGTATTAGGTAGGAACCCAGGGCACTAGAGTGACTTCAGTCTAATTGCCTCCTATTTGGCTTTTTTAAAACTCCACAGAGGGACTGTTTTTTTCCTATGTTTTCCAGATGTATGGTATGCAGGGTCTCAAATCCAACACTGTGCCCCCTGTGTTAACTCTTCTAGAGCTTACAATAAAATCCTAAATTTCTAGTTCTTTCCCCACATTCCCAAATGCCAGCTTCCCCTCACAATTCAAAAACTTATCAATTATTTGTTTTTTATTGTGTTGTTCAACGGGAAAAAGTATTTTAATTGTTTATTATTATTTCACAAAACAGTAGTTGTCTTTTAAGAACATTTTTTTTCTCTTGCTGAAAATTTCAGATCAGAGGAAATCAGAGAATATTCACTTGACACCCCTTTGTAAAATCTCTTTGTGCCTCTCCTTTTATATCTTTCCTAGGCACAGACATCTTACCAGGATGTCTTTAGGTTGAGTTTCTTCTGTGGAGACTTTACAGTGTGATGTGTCCTCAGCCACCCTCCTGTGTTTTCCTGGTCATGGGTTCCACAGCTATCTGAGGATGACCCAGGACACCCACAGAAGCCATGTGTCCTGGAGTGTCTAGTGAATATCATCATCCCTGGGCCATCTCCTTGCACAGGACAGCCTGAGGTATGGGGCAGGAGCCTGTGGGGACCAGCTTGCTGGATGCTCTGATGCTGAGAGAGTCTTCTTGTATACCTTTTACCTAAAAAGCTAACCCCATGAGACATTAATATTTTCTTCTCCCAACCCCAGTTTTTATTTCTTGGAGATGTATTGGTGGCCAGCCAATCAGTTTCTGGTTTTAAGGGGAAAAGACAAAAATGATTCATGTTCTTTGGATTTTCTCACCCTTGTGAGGGATAAAACTATCCCCAAGGACAAGAAAAACCCTCCCCAGTGAGCTGGTACAAGAACTTGCAAAGCAATTTGCACTTCAAGCACTTAGAGTGGTGCAGGAATGTGCAGTGGCTCCTGGGAGGGTGGTCTTTGAGCACTGTAGTGAGCAGGCTGGGTGTGGGAGTGTGTCCCAAGTGATAGGATGGCCTAACTCGGACACTTGAGTGGGACATGACTGTTTCTGTCATCACTGCTCCTCCCTGGGTGTGTCACCTTGAAAGGATTGGTTCACTCATTTCAACTTCGGTTTTTCATTAACAGTAAAATGAATTTTGGCAATCCAGGTCGAAAGATAATAAATACTTTCAAAGGGGGCATGAAAGCAGTGGGTTTCAGAAAATAAAAACTACTCATATGTTCCATTTGTTAAAAATTATTGTTTACCTGTTTTCTTCCGTAGAGTGAGTGTAGTAAGTTTCTCAGGTCTGCTTTTGGTTTTGGTTATGTTGTTTGTTTGTTTTAGCAGAGTTTCAATCTTGCACAGGCTAGAGAGGGCAGTGGTATGATTATAGGTCACTGCAGCCCTCAATGACTAGGCTCAAACAGTCCTCCTGCCTCAGCCTCCTTAATAGCTACAACTACAGGTATGATTCATCATGCTGGATAATTTTTTTTTTTTTTTGAGACAGAGTCTCACTCTGTTGCCCAGGCTAGAGTGCCATGGCGTCAGCCTAGCTCACAGCAACCTCAAACTCCTGGGCTCAAGCAATCCTACTGCTCCAGCCTCCCGAGTAGCTGGGACTACAAGCATGTGCCACCATGCCCACCTAATATTTTCAATTTCTTTGTATTTTTAGTAGAGATGGGGTCTCACTCTTGCTCAGGCTGGTCTCGAACTCCTGAGCTCAAACAGTCCACCCGCCTCTGCCTCCCAGAGTGCTAGGATTACAGGCGTGAGCCACCACACCCAGCCTATGCAGGATAATTTTTAAAAATTTTTTGTAGAGGCAGGTCTCACTATGTTGTCCAGGCTGGTCTCAGACTCCTGACTTGAAGCAATCCTCCCACTTTGGGCTCCCAAAATGCTAGAATTACAGGTGTGAGCCACCACTCTCTCTGGCCTCAGTGTGGTGACTCTTATTTAGAGATATGTCTTATTTGGAGGTAATTTTCAGTGGAATTTCAGGACTTTGTTTTTGGAATGCTACTCAGGGAAGGAAATAGGAAAAATCTCTTCCATTTTTGTTGCAGAAAAAGTAATATATTTCCACAAGAAAGTGTAGTAGAAAAATTGGTGAATTACAAAGATTTACCAATGCATCAGTTTCTCTCTTGTGCTTGGTGGAGAATTCGTGACAGTGGGTAATTCTGTTCTGTATCCTGTTATCTAGATGTTGAAGTTTAATGATAAATCCTATGAGGTAGGATTTGGCAATTCCTAGAAGTGTTCACACATGATTGTTTACAAAATAATTTGTTACCATAAAAATAACAGTTAAATCACCCGTTTATTTTCCGAAATGGCTAGATACTTTTGATTTTCCTGTTGCGGTATAAAATTTAAATGCCTTACAATTTCTGTGACATTATGATAGATATATTCCTTTTTTTTTGGTCCATGATTCCTGGCTCTGGGATCCTGTAAGCCTTTGTATTTGCTAAATGACTAGAGCAATCAGAATTTCTTTTCTTTAAATATTTCATCTTTTGTTCTTGGCTCCTGAAGGAGCTCCTGAATGGTAAAGGTGAAAGGCAGTCTTTTGTTATTTACAATAAGCCTTTCAAACCCACCTTAGCTTATGTTCATGTGTGGTTTGTTTGCAAAGCCCCTAGAAACCACTGGATGGGAGGCTTGTTGACAGGGGAAGCAGCCATGTGCTTAGAGGGATGGAATTTTCAGTCTCACCCCAAACCTTTGGGCTGAAGGTTAAGTTGATTAAAAATGGCCTATTGTTAAATTAGTTATTCCCATGAAATGAAACTTCAATAAAAGAAAGGACGGCGTTTGAGGAGCTTCCAGACGGCTGAACACATAGTAGTTTCTGGAAGGCGATGAGCCTAACAAGGACTCGAAAGCTCTGCACCCCTTCCCCAATACCTTGCCTGTGTGTCTCTTCATCTGGCTGTTTGTGTATATTTTTTAATATATCCTTCATAATAAACCGGTAAATATAAGTGTTTCCCTGAGTTCTTTCACGTGGTCTAGCAAGTTAATCAGACCTACAAAGGGAGTCATGGAACTGTGGATGGAAAAATCCAAACTCTGAAATATTTGAAAGAGGTCTATTCTGAACCAAATTTGAGGACCATGACCCGGAGTCACTCCCAAGGAGCCTTGAGCAAGTGGACTCGCTGTGGCTGGTTGCAGTTTGGTTTTATACATTTCAGAGAGGCAGGGGTTACAGGTAAAGTCATAAATCAATACGTGGGAGGCATACATTGGTTTGGCCCCAAAAGGTGGGACATCTCAAAGGGGGCGACTTTCAGGTTATAGGTGGGTTTAAAGATTCTTTGGCTGACAATTGGCTGAGAGAGTTAGGCTTTATCTAAAAGCCCAGAAAGGAAATGCTTAATTTAAGAAAGGTGTGAACACTCTGGGAGGTCCAGACAGGAGAATCTTTCAAGTTAAGATAAGGGCCTGCTAGGATGCTTGAGTTAAGATAGAGGGCTTTCTATCTTTTAGGTGATGCTAATGCTATACCAGAATCAGGTTGGGAAGTAAATCACAGTTATGTTTGGTTAACAAAACCTGCCTAGTGGGATTTTACGATTTGCTGAGTGTGACTCATCTGGCCACCTTAGGAAGGAATTTTGAGGAAAAGAAAAGATCAGAGTTCAGTCCTCAGAACTGATATTTGAAGCTGGTTGATCAGAGGCTTCAAAAGCCTGGATTTGCAGCTGGTGTCTGAAGTGGGGACAGTTTTGTGGGACTGAGTCCTCATTCTGTGTGATTTGATGCTATCTCCAGGTAGATAGTGTTACAATTTAACTGTATTTGAAGATATTTAGCTGGTGTCTCCTGCAGAATTGATTGCTTCTGTGGTGGTAGGGTGAAATTGCATATTTTTTATCAGAGAAGTCTTCTGTGTTGATTGATGTGGTGTGAGAAAAGAGAAAAAACACTTGTGGTTTGAGATTTTTTTCCTTTAGAATTTCCTTCTCTTTTATAAACATAAAATCCAAGTTTAAGTGATTTTGCTGGATTTTTGAAACACTGGGTATTTTTCTCATTTACAATTAAATGAATAACCCTGACTGATAAGCAGAGACATAGCCTAGTGACTCCAAGCCAAGGCCAATCTTCAGTTTGCAAGAGGAGGTCATTGAAGGCCCATTTATTTCTTCTGGGGAGCCACCCTGGGAGGTGTCCCAGCCTGCTCACAACATCATGGAAGGAGCCCTTTATACT